CATCACGTCACTTAGCCCTACCAAAAATTATAAAATATAGCAGCTTAGGTTTAGATAGCATTACAAAATATTGCATAACCTGACGCAACATTAAAAAAGTTCACAAAACATCACATCAGCTTACACTACGAAACTGTTCATCAACACAAACTAACGACAAACGTCTTTTCAATAGACTACCATGCAAACAAAAACATTCACACCTTATCTCAACTTAACACGCCAGAGAGCAGGCAAACGCACGACAACTCATCTCAACCGGCCTATCTCACCTCTCTTCAACACAATGAAAACAACAACATTCACCAACATGACAACAACAACACACACCAACACAACAACATATAATAACACATCATTTGACAACATCATTACATTTCCGTCGCGAGACAACACACAAAAATATTAAAAAAAATTTAATTACAAAACATTTTAGCAAAACAACTCGCAAAACAATGAAAATCAAACTGCGATCATTTGGTTCTTTGCACACAACATACACATCATATCATTACATCAATCAACCTTGCCACAATTCATCATGGCACACAACATCGCCTTATCATGCAACACATTACAACAAACATTATAATGCACAACACCATAGAACACACAATTCATACCACGTACATGGTAATATTCGCCACACCAAAAATTTGTTTGCACTTAAAAAAATTTTTTGTTGGATCGATCGATTGGAACAAAAATACATTTAATAATAGAATAATTTTATCATAAATGTATCATCAGTTATATCATTATATCAAGTATATCATTATGTCATTATATCTGTTATATCATTTAAACCATCAATTATATAATTATATTGGCATTTTTGAAAATTATTAAAAAATGAACAAATTAAAAAAATGGGTTTAAAGACCTAATGTTTTGCATGTGGTTTACTATCGTAATAATGATAATATCAGTTTACATCATGATCAGGTTGATGGAGAAGCTACAATTGTCGGTTGTCGTAATTATCCGAGTCGTAATTAACATTATTAAAACATCAATGCAAACGTTATTGTGGTTGGTGTGGTTGTTGTGGTTGATTTTGTTGCTGCTACAACATCGGTATCAACATCACCGCTGTCATCATTGTAGTTGATACTATTCACATCATCATCATCAACAACATCATCATCATCATCATTAACATTGTCAACGTCACTTTCGTTATCGTCATTATCATCATCATCATCACTTAAAAGTCGATTGAATGAAATAAACCTGGAGAGCATTGATAAATCTACAAACAAGACCGTCAACCATCAAAGCTATTCATACAAACGTACAAGTACATACATGCATACAAACATACATACATACATACATACATACATACATACATACATACATACATACATACATACATACATACATACATTCATACATACATACATACATTCATACATACATACATACATACATACATACATTCATACATACATACATTCATACATACATACATACATACATACATACATACATACATACATACATACATTGCGCAATTAAAACATGCGCGCATCCATTGTGCAATTAAGCCCAAACGATTTTTCCGTGGCAGACGATGGAATACGGTACATAACTATTGGACGACAGCAAATGGAAATATTTTTATTAAGTGTGCAGTAGACTTTTCGTTCGCCGACTCGTGTCGTCTGCGATATTTGCGTTAGCTTTCAACACATTCCAGCATGCTCCAACCTGCTCAAATGCACACCACGCGGATCAAATTGTCGATTGTTTTATAATTTATACTTTTTAATTTCCTTGTTGCAACTTTATTTTAAAATTTATGTTAACTTGGAAACAACTAACTTTCTGCTTGTTTTTAATTCGGTGTTATCCGTAGGAAGATGTTATAAATGAATCAAGCCTCTCCAGTTTTCTAAATTAGTAGAAAACTGAAACATTTTGCCGAAAATGTTTCAAAACTTGCACACGCGCCATTTCGCAAAGGTACTCTATTGACAGTTTGCACGAACTTCAACGAAACTGTTACTACGGAGACATCGTCAGATAGAGCGGCTGCTGCAAATATTATTATATGACTACCACGCACACCCCAAGTAGCTCTACAAATTTGTTAACCACACGCGCACACACACGCATGCACACACACACGCACGCACACACGCGGGCTTACTTGTTTGCATGTCACGTAAATTTCCACAACAGTCCTCCTGACGCATATTAGCTCTTTCAAGGGAAACTCTTTTTAACAAGCAGCAACTAATTTGGATGTTGCAATGGCACCAGTAACTGAAATTTAAAAAAATTGTTTCAAAGGAAAACAAAAACGTCTATAAAAATTTAAAAAAATCAACAATTTAAAACGAAAACAAAATGCAAAACAACCGCAAAATTGACAATAAAAAATGAAACAAACAAAACACAAACTACAACAACACATTGCAACAGCAACAACACAAAATAACAACATCACGTAACATGCAACATAAAGAACAACAAAAACAAACACATAATGCAACAACAGTAACAGCAACAACAATAACAGAAACAACAACAACAATATAAAGAACAGCATCATAACATGGAACAAAAGACACGTGCAGGTTAACTAACCTGCACATGCTCCTCCTCCACCAAGAAAGTTTTCAAAATCAATTTGCGCATTAAAGGGAAATAGATGCTCTCTCAAGTTTTCCACTTTCGCTAGTTACTCCAAACATAATATTTTGAAATTCATTTTTCCAGGTATCTCAAACAAGTGGCATGTTTTGAGCGATACATAATTTGATCGATGTCAAGTTTAAAAATGCAATTTTCATCAATGTGATTGTCAAAATAAAAACACTAGCCATTGCAATTTATCATATCTTCCGCTGGTTTCGTCCTTATCATAACTTCAGTCACACATAACTACGTTTGCCAAATAACAGTGACTGTTTCTTACAAAAAGTATTTTTTTAAAAGTTGGTGCATTAGAATTCGTTTAATGTGTCGCTTTTGCGTCTAACGTATCTAATGTTTATATAAAATTTAACTAAAAAATCTTTTGGGAAAATATAATTAAGACTCTTAAAAAGGGAGGCGATGGGAACCTTCAAAAATGATGAAGTACTGGAGTGACACGTACAAAAGAAGGCATGGACGATACCATTAAAAAATCATGACCACCATTACGGTGGGCGATATTAAACGGAGTAAGGCTTTGACTTCCTCCATCTTCTTCCTTTATTGTATTTTTTAGTCTCCATTTTTGTAGCGCTCACCTGGTATGAAACTTTCATGCTTCGTATTTTATGAGCTACACGCCACCTGTTACAATTATTTATGTTTCATATTATTCATAATGTATATCGTTTGCTTGCCTGTTCGTTTGTTCGTTCGTTCGTTCATTCGTTGTTGTTTTGAATATTTACAATTCATTACAAATTTAATCTTTTCGGTAACATTTTAACTTTTTCAAACATTTTAGTGCATTATGATGCTCCCAACTTCAATCAGCATGTGAAATTGTGGAAGAACATTTGAAATAATCAAAAAATGATGATTGATTTGCCTGTTTGGACTCTACGTTCTTTCCCGCCATCAACAACATCATCATCATCAACACCTTCTTCATCATCAACAACAACAACACCAACAATATCACCACCACCACCAACAACAACAACAACAAAATC